GGGGAGCTCGCGGCAGCCGCCGCTCCGGAGCCGCGCGCTGATTCCCGTTAACCCGAGCCCCTTCCAGCCCTAAGGAGGAGCCCCCGCTGCCATCATTAGAGTTTCTATACAGAGTTTTATTTATTTACTCTTTTTTTTTTGGATAGCTACCCCATAATAGCATTTTAATAACAGTTTAATATAATTTTAACTGACAAAGGCAGGATCAAAATGGTTCTTAGTGCCTTTTTTTTTTTCTTTGTTCACAGTCTAGCACTAATTTGATTATAAAATCACATCAAATGCCAAATTAAGCATTTATCAACTGAAATAAAGCAAAGTGGAGAACAATAAAATAGAGAATAAATAATAGAGTATATACATATTTTGTGGCTTATGCAGCAAGTATCTTGTGGACGGACGTAGCAAGCTACGAGGATGGACTCAAGAGGCAATGGGGTTTCAGGGAAGTTTCTCCTTTAGCCCTGCAGTGGGTACCCAGGTGCTGGGGATGCAGGTGTGTTTTTGCACACATTTGCACACATTTGCACACCCATCCTCTTTCACAGCACCCTCAGCTTCAGGGGGAGCCCAAAAGCACCAGCCCATCCAGCAATTTCCAGTCAGTGCTTGGAAAAGCAACTCCATCTCATAGTCTCCCAGTTCCTTTCCTGACACCTCTGCCCAGGAGGCACCTGGAAGCCAAGGGAGAAGCACTGCAGGACCACGCTGCAATTCAGGGGGACATCATGGGCCCAGGACCTACAGCAGAGCTGCCACGAGGTTTCCTTTTAGCCCAATGTATCTTAAATCTAAACCTGGAAGCTGAGGTACCCAGCTTGCCAAATTGCTGTTCAATAATGATACTGGCTCAGGTACAAAACAAAATTTCCCTAGAGATTTTATTTTTTAAAATTGTTTTGGACAAGCAGCAAGAAGCAAGGACATTGCTGAGGCTGCTAATGACGTGAGGAACGCACAAGAGCAGCTCAGCCCACCTGCATTTTAAGGACTGTTCCTTCCAAGTTCAGCATGGGATCGGTAGCACTGAAAGCAAAGGCTCCCTCCAAGACATTTCATCCCCATCTCCAAAGGAGCCCGGGCTGGTCCCTGCAGAGGCTCTAGCACCTGCGTTTCTTATTGCACAGGAATTTGCTATCCAGCCTCTCAGACACATCAGCTCAGCCAAGCTGCAGCCAGGGAAAGCAAAACACACGAACGCAAGGCGAATCACCAGTCTACGAGCCAGCACTTTTTCTGCCTTTTATTGACAAAATCACCAAAGATGCTGTCAAAAGCACAATTCACCTTGGAGCCATTTGGAACCTTTTCATTTCAAGGTGACTTTGTCCATAGATGTTCTGAAAAATCAACATTTTTGCCTTGAAAACATTTGTGCTGCTCAGCAGGGGCCGCCCAAAAGACCTTCCCCAAAGCAAAAGCAGCAGCATCTTGAGCACTGGAACATAAAACACCAGGCGCAACAAGGAAACAAATATTGCTCTTGTGAAAACATTTCCAAAGCGGTTCCGATATATCACGAGTCAGTGGCACCATTATAAGGACACAAAAAGCAATCTCCAAAGTTGACCGAGCGTGTTTCAAACGAAACATTCATGCTCTAATTGCCATCTCAGATGTTTCTGGAATCAGAGCACAGCCCTTCTGGCCTCAATTTTACCGCTATAAATGGTGTCCTGGGAGTAATGTCCTCTGCTGGGATTTCAGGGCATTTACCCCTCCATTCCGCTGCTCATCAAAGTAACTGCTACAGGAGACTCCTCAGACACTTGAGAACTCAACCAAGATGTAGATGACTGATGGGGGAACCCACTGGGTGCTAGCCAGCCTCCTGGGACTGCCACTCGATCCAGGATGCACCAGAACCGTGACGGCTTTGCTCGGCAGCAGGAAGGGCTGAGGCCGAGCAAGGGCGGAGGATGCAACCGGAGCCACGGGGCTTCCTGGGCAGCGGAGCGCCGGGAAAAGCGGTGATGGCGG